CCTCTCTCTTGGGCTTGTAGATGGCCACCTTCTTGTGTCTTTATGTACCCTTCCGAGTGTGTGTGCGTGTGTGTGTGTGTGTGTGTGTGTGTGTGTGTGTGTCTAATCTCCCCTTCTCACAAGGACACAAATCCTATGCCATTAGAGTCTACCCCAATGAACTTATTCAACTCTAAGAAGCTCTTCAAGGACCTATCTCCAAAGACAGTCACAATCTTAAATACTGGAGGTTAGAGTTGGAGCTTCGACATTTGGTGGGGAGGCTCATAACATCCCCGCTCCATGCGTGCCTTTCCCTACTGTATTTACCCTAAAAAACACGCATTCTTACTCTAAGAATCAGACCATGCACAGCCTTCCCCAGCAGCCCCTGCTGGGTTGGTTTTCTAACCTATGTTTCTTTGCAACTTACACACACCTTCACTAGAGAACTATCATCTTGTGCTTTAATGATTCATATTTCCCCCTTCTTCCACTAAACTGTGAGCTTCTAGGTGGTAGTAACTACATATATCTTTTTATCCCTATTTATTCAATAAATATCCACTGGGGGCCTGCTATGTGCTAGGCACTGCTAAGGTCGCTGAAGGTTGAGCAATGAACAAGACGGGCAGGGTCCCTGCCTGTATGGGGCTCACATTCTAGTAAGGGAAAGGAGCAGTAAAGAAGTCAAAAAGCAATAGGGATAAACTGCAAACATAATGCTTAATCCATTGTAGGTGTTCAAAAAGCTGTGAACCAAATGCTATGGGGAGAATGCGTTCATCTGGGAAGGATGAGAGAAGAGGGGGCGAAACCCCAAGAACCTTTTCAAACCTGAAATTTTGTGATTCTTTGTTCACTCTGAGTTGCTGAGGTAGCTATTACAAGGAAGGGAAAAGAAGGCTCCCCTTGTCCTGGAAGCTCACATCACTTAATGATCTAGAACCCTGGGTCACTACATCCCTACATCTGTCCTTGAATTAGGAGACCTCTCAGTATCCCTGAGAAGAGACGGACAACCAAGACAAAACCCGCCAAATGTCTCCCATCCCACTGCCTCAGAATTCCCATAGCCAAGGTCTGTTTTCCAGTGGTCGAGCCTAGAGATGAGATATATTTTCCTATGTCCAATTCTTGGATAAATTTATGGGGCAGTGGGGAATGAGGTAAGGGCAGGTCTAGGTCTAAGGAGACTCGTACTGTGTAAATGACACATTTTGGGTGCATCATAGCCCGTATCAACCTCTAAGGAAGAGAAGGACCATTTCTAGAAATTCTCTAGTAATAATGAGACATGATATCAGCCACACAGGGATCCACACTCTGCTAAAAGCACAAAGCCTGCAGGAGCTCAGCATGGCCACACTAATGTCCATTCCCTTCCTATCTGTTGTCCTTGATTTTTTAAAAAAACAAGTGCTATTTGGGTACCAGTGTATAAAGCTCCTATTACGGAAAGAGTTAAATGGATTAAAATGCAGAAACAAAATTCATCCATGGAACTCTGTGTCCTCACAAATTTATTCATATAAAATTTAGAATCATTTTTGTCACATTAAAAATTTACATCAGGCTGGGTGCGGTGGCTCAAGCCTGTAATCCCAGCACTTTGGGAGGCTGAGGCGGGTGGATCACGAGGTCAAGAGATCAAGACCATCCTGGTCAACATGGTGAAACCCCGTCTCTACTAAAAATACAAAAAAATAGCTGGGCATGGTGGCGCGTGCCTGTAATCCCAGCTACTCAGGAGGCTGAGGCAGAATTGCCTGAACCCAGGAGGCGGAGGTTGCGGTGAGCCGAGATCGTGCCATTGCACTCCAGCCTGGGTAACAAGAGCGAAACTCCGTCTCAAAGAAAAAGAAAAAAAAAATTTACATTAAATTTATAACTTAATGTTAAATTATATCATTCTAAAATCCAAGCATATCATTCTAAAATAAATTGAATGGTCTTTTAAAACACTCAATATACTTTATAAATATATTCCGGTATGTCCTGCATGTCAATTACCTACTGCTAGGTAGTTTCTATTACTTGGTAACCAGACTCAATGAAATCTTTCTAAATGATAATATTTCCTACCTGATTACTGTTGATTAAAAAAAGGTAAAATTCAGCCAAACAACTAAACTTATTACTTCTGTAAGTTTTTAGTTGATTCTATGAGATTTTCTACATAGATATTCTTACCATTTTAAGAAATGATTATTTTTCCATGTTGATTCCAATACTTATTCCTAGTCCATTTTCTTCAATAATTGCCTTGGTGAGCAATTATGAATAAATAATGACAGAGAGATCAGTTTGTTCCCACATCTGACAGAAAGGTCTTTAGTGGGGCCGGGCTCAGGGGTCACGCCTGTAATCCTAGCACTGTGGGAAGCTAAGGCCAGTGGATCACCTGAGGTTGGGAGTTCAAGACCAGCCTGGCCAACATGGTGAAACCCCATCTCTACTAAAAATATAAAACTAGCAGGTCATGGTGGCACACACCTGTAGTCCCAGCTACTTGGGAGGCTGAAGCAGGAGAATCGCTTTTAACTCAGGAGGCAGAGGTTGCAGTGAGTTGAGATTGCACCATTGCACTCCAACCTGGGCAACAAGAGTGAAACCCCAACTAAAAAAAAACGCCTTTAGTGTCTCCCTGTATCGACAGGTGTAATATTGGTTGGCTCTTGGTTTGGTTTAGGTTCTGTTTTGGTTATGTTTTTAAGAATTACAACTTAAGCCTTTCTGTCATCAGTGATAGATGTCAGATTTTATCAAATATTTTTAGGTGCCTATTGAGATGATCTTAAGATTTACATAATACTTTGTTCTACGCTACAGATTTTCAAAATCCTTTATTTCCCAACATGTTACAGGACCAATGGTGGAGTTATTTGATCAAAGACATGCACATTTGAAAATCTTTATGTGTTTTGTTAAACTGTATCCCCAAAGATGAGGTCGATTGACACCTCGGCCCCAGCAGTGGATGAAAATGCCTATTATACGAACTCTCAGTAGCATTGTGTTTTTATAACTAAAATCTCTGTTAATTTATAAAACTACTGAATGTTAGATACAAAACATACAAGGTATACCACCTCTTTCTTATCCTCTTACTGCACTCCTTAAAAAGTAATTGTAGGTTCTCAGGTTTATGTTACCTGATGATATTTCATAAACATTTTAACACAGTTCCCCTGGAAGAGCTCTAATGGAACCTCTGTATATATTTTGGGGTCACATAACTCTAATATTCTGAAAAAGCTATTGGATTAGGCCCATTCCAATGACCTCACTGAACCCTTCAGAGCTCTGTAAGGACCCTGAAGACAGATTCTTAGATACTAGTGGTTAGAATTTCAACACAGGAATTTAAAGGGGAGAGACATCATTCAGTTCATAACACCCCTTTTCCAGGAATGCCCTTCCCTCCCTTATTCACCTGACAAATACTCATTCATTCCTAAACATCAGATCGCACACAGCCTTCTCTGATAGCCAGAGAAGCCACACTTTCTCTGACAGCCACATTTTCTTCCCAGAAAAATGTGCATACATGCAAATGTTTTTTTCATTGGCTTCAGAAGACTCCAGGATCTAGCAGGAATGTCACAGACCCACAAAGAAGAATTGTGACCTATTTTACTATCCCTGTTTCACAGATAACAAAGCTAAAGCCAGCCAGGCACAGTGGCTCATGCCTATAATCCCAGCACTTTGGGAGGGTGAGGCAGGTGAATCACCTGAGGTCAGGAGTTCAAGACTAGCCTGACCAACATGGAGAAACCTTGTCTCTACTAAAAACACAAAATTAGCCAGGCATGGTGGCACATGCCTGTAATTCCAGCTCATCGAGAGGCTGAGGCAGGAGAATCGCTTGAACCCGGGAGGCAGAGGTTGCTGTGAGCCGAGATTGTGCCATTGCACTCCAGTCTGAACAGCAAGAGTGAAACCCCATCTCAAAAAAAAGAAAGTTAAAGCCGAAAAGAAAATCTGTTTTTACTAAAACGTTTTTTTCTTATTTTACAGGCCTTCCTTCTTCCGCCCCCTCCCAAAAAAAAATCGAGGAGAAAAGCCTATATTGCTTTCTACTTAAAAGATATTTTTATTTTGAAAAAGAAAAACGCTTTGAGAAACAGTGGCATTATCTGAGTAAACACAGAGCATTCCAAGGTGAGCACTTTAAGGGAGTTCATGTCCAACCTCACAGAGTAGGTGGGAAAAGTGCTGACCAGGGAACCTAAGACCCAGGATCTGGTGCTCCTAGACCACAGACTGAATGTAATCCTCGAATAACTCATAAGCCCCTTGAGCCTCACTTTCCACACCCGTAAAGTCAGGTACTAATGTTTGCCTCACAGCAATGCTCTAAGGAATAAATGAAATTTCTGGACACATAAGGAAATGCTATATAGGTAGGTTAATGCTATATAGATATTGCTAAAGATTATTTTTCAAATAAATTCAGCAAATACCTATGGGGCACCTATGATATGCCAGGCACAGTTCTAGGTGCTAGGGAATCAGCCTAGATGGGAGGGTCAGGAGGGCTGCTCTTCTAGAGTTTGCACACTGGCAGGCACAGCCAACTTTCAACAGGGGATTTGTATCAGGCCCTTCTTGCACTGCTATAAACAAATACCTGAAGCTGGGCAGTCTATAAAGAGAAGAAGTTTAATTGGCTCATGGTTCTGTAGGCTGTACAGGAAGCGTAGCAGCATCTGCTTCTGGGGAAGCCTCAGGAAGCTTCCAATCACGGCAGAAGGTGAAGAGGGAGCAGGCACATCACATGGCGAGAACAGGAGCAAGAGAGACCAGGGGGCGGGGGGGATGCCACATACTTTTAAACTACAAGATTTTTTTCTTTTTTTGAGATGGAGTTTTACTCTATCATCCAGGCTGGAGTGCAGTGGCACAATCTCAACTTACTGCAACCTCTGCCTCCTGCGTTCAAATGATTCTCCTGCCTCAGCCTCCCAAGTAGCTGGGACTACAGGCATGCACCACTACATCTGCCTGGTTTTTGTCTCTTTAGTAGAAACGAGGTTTCATCAAGTTGGCCAGGCTGGTCTCGAACTCCTGACCTCAGGTGATCCTCCCGCCTTGGCCTCCCAAAGTGCTGGGATTACAACCGTGAGACACGGTGCCCGGCCTAAACTACCAGATCTTGTGTGAGCTCAGAGCAAGAGACAGCTCGCTTATCACCAAGGGGATGACCCAAGCCATTCATGAGGGATCCACGACCATTACCAGTCACCTCCCGCCAGGTCCCACCTCCAACATTAGGGACTGCAATTCAATTTGAGATTTGAGCAAGGACAAATCCAAACTATCTCAGGGTTCAAATGGGATAACTGACAGGAGCAAGGAAGTGCAAGGTGCTGAGGTTGCTTATAAGGACGGGAACCAGCCCCACTGGAACTGGTCAAGGTGTTCCATCTGAGGAGACTAGGGTTTAACTGAAACCTGGAGGGGAGGAGGGGGTGTCCAGTAAAAGGAAGAGGGCATTTTATGGATCAGGAATTAAGAGAGAGTTTTACATGTTAAATGAACTTTTAAAAGTCCAGTGTGGGGTGTGTGTGTGTGTGTGTGTGTGAGAGAGAGAGAAAGAGAGAGAGAGAGAGAGAGAGTTATAGCTGTGTGTGCTGTGAGTGGGCAGGTTGTAGGTTTTTGTGTCTGTTATAGGTTGCATATGTGTTTGAGGGTATGTGGGAGGGGCTCTGAGGTGTGTGTGTGTGTGTGTGTTGTGGTTGTGTTCGTGCATTGTGGTTTGTGGGTCGTGTGGTTTATGTGGATTGTAGCTCACATGCATGTAGGTGTATGGCTTCATATTCTGGGTTATGTGGGTGGGTTTTAAGGTGTGAAGAGTTGTTATATATGGAGTGTGGATGTGTGAGAGTGGTGGGTTATGTTTATGTTGCAGGCTGTATGTGTGTATGCTGTAGGTTGTGTATGAGTTTTAGATTATGTGGGAAGAGTTGTGTGTGTGTATGAGCCGTGGGTTGTATGGAGGTGTGTGTTGTTGTTTGTGCTATGGGTTGTATGTATGGAAGTCTGTGGCAGATTGTATGTTGTTAGTAGCACTCATTGGGTATGTATTTTGGGTTATGCGGTGAGGGCTATAGGGTGTGAGGGGTTGTGTGTATTTGTTGTGCATCAGAGTGGGTTATGAAGTTTGCAGGTTATACATATGGGTTGTGGGATGTGGTATGTGTATGTGTGTGTGTGTATATGTGTGTGTGATCAGGCTAAAGGGGTAGGCTGAGACAGGCTCCAGATGACATAGCAGACACTGTTGGTTCCCCTTCTTCAATGAAAGACACCTGACTTTCAAATGCCAGAACCTGCCCTGCTTTGCCTGGGGGCTTTTTTGGGGTCTGGGTCCCACCTTGTCCCCACTCTCAGCAGGGCCAGCCAATTCACACTCCCTACCCCCAGAATCCTTCAATCAGTGATTAAGCAGGGGTGGGTGGATAAATACCCCAGCTCCCTCACCCCTCAGGGGAGATAATGCTGACATGTGTGTTCTGTGCCACTCTTCAGCCTTGCCTGACAGGATTTAGCTCCAGGTGCACACAGTGGTCCTTGCTTGATAGCGACCCTTTATTGGTTCTTTTCCTTCCCTGTTTCACTTTCTCACCCCTATCTGGGTGTTTCCTGAGCCCTTCCTCAAAGACCTGGTCTCACATCCATTACCTCGTTGATCTACTTCTGGGCCAACCCAAGCTGAGACAGCCTTGTAAGCCATCCTGGACTTCACCCTGAGGGCAGTGGGCAGCCATGAAGGTTAATGACAGGGAGTTCCCATAATCCATTATGCTTTGAAAAATTAAATGGATAAAATACAAGGTTCCAGCAACTTTCTATCTTCTACAATCCATGCCTTGGAGAAGGATGCCTATGTTATTCATGCACAAAAACCCCCCAGTCAAGGAAGGGCATTTGCTCACCTCCCAGGCCAAGGTGGTCTCACCCTCCAGTGGGTCCCTGAGGTTCCAGAGCATTCAGGTGACTCATTTGAGGCCACAAAGCTAAAGCGCCGCCAAGCCCAGAGTACAGTCCCAGCCACCTGCATCTCAGCCCCATTCTCACTGGGATGTTTCTGCAGTAAAACCTTCAAAGGCATTTTATCCAAACCACTCAAAATCAGGACGCTGAGCCAATTCAAAACCTGTCTGTCACAACTGCTGTTTTGAGAGGACATAGTCACTTTCACTTAGCCTCCAGTGGGAAAACAGGGACCAACGCCACGTCCTGCCCTGGGACAGGAGCCAGGGGCCTGTTTCTTTTGCAAGTCAGGCAGCTGCTTGTGGACCTGCTTGAAAGGAGGGGATCTGGGCAGTTGTGGTCGTCTGGTCCTGCCTGACACAGCTCTCCTGGGGAGCACCGTCCCTGTCATGCAGTGAAGCCTGCTGAAACCATCAGTCTGTAAGCATGATAGACAGTGCATCCAAGCTGGCTGGGGCTCCTTTGATATTTTTCTGTATCAGGCTCATCCTTCAGTGTGGATGAGACAGGACAGAGCTGGAGCCTTGGCAGGGCTGGGAAGAGGATATCAGAACAGCGTGTGCACATGTGGAAAGAAAAGGAAATTGAGTAGGAGATGAGGGGCCCCTGGTCTGATGAGATGGACAGGAACACCCCCCTCCATGCTGTGGGGGCCGTCTGTCCCGCCAAGACACCTGCTTCCTGGAGATCCCAGGAGGGCAGCCATTGCCAGAAAAACAAAGTGTGGTGCAACCCTAGATGTTCTTCCTGTATATGCATTCTTAAACAAATCATTTACCCTCTCTGTGCCTCAGTTTCCTCCTTTATAAAATAGGGCTAATAATATCTATTTCAAAGTATGGCTGGGAGACTTAACTGGGACAGTGTATAAACACCCCCAGGGAGGTACCTAACACATCCTGTTAGATATGCCTTACTTTCCCCATCATAACTAACATTTGGAGAGTTGCCAGTTACTCACTACATACCAGGCACTGTCGAAAGGACACGATAAACATCTTTGCTGTTCAACCACCCTGGGAAGCAGATCCTAGAGATTAGGAAACTGAGAGGGGTTCCATAACATTCACGAGACCTAGCACTCGCAGAGGGTGGCTAAAGTTACAACCCAGGCAGAGCTGACTCCAGAGCCCGACTTCTGAGCCCTTCCAATTTCTCCCCTATTTACGAGGGAAACAGAAAGCCCACCTCTCCCAGGAAGAGCACTTCTGTGTCATCAGGCAAGGGTCATGTTCATTGCCCATGTGTGACATATTTTAAAGACATAAAGCTATAGTGTCCTGGGCAGTGTAAGTAATAGCTCTGTCTTGAAACTCCCATAAATCAAAATCATGACGCGGTACAGCAGTGGTTCTCAAAGTGTGGTCCATGGACCTCAGCATCAACAGTACCTGGGAAGGTGTGAGAAATGCCAACCCTGCGTCCCCGCCCAGGCCTACTAAGTCAGAAACTCTGGGAAGGGAATCCAGCGATCTGTGTCTCACCAAGCCTTCCTGGTGACACTGACGGACACTATAGTTTGAGCACCACTGCCATAGTAGGATACACATTTTCACTCTCCAGCAACTACAGGTCATGAAGGAAATTATAAATAAATAAATAATAGATTTTTACTGTTTTGTTTCCAGGTGGGATTGGCAGGAAGTAGAGCAATGACCATGTTCATTGAGGGTTAACAAGTTCATTCATTCATTCATTTATTCATTCATTCATGCATTCACTGATGTTTATTTCTTGGGCACTAAATGCCAGGCATTACCCTGGGAATAATAAAATGTAGTTAAAAAGACACAGATGTCTCAAGCCTGTAATCCCAGCACTTTGGGAGGCCGAGGCGGGTGGATCACGAGATCAAGAGATCGAGACCATCCTGGTCAACACGGTGAAACCCCGTCTCTACTAAAAATACAAAAAATGAGCTGGGCAAGGTGGCGCGTGCCTGTAATCCCAGCTACTCAGGAGGCTGAGGCAGGAGAATTGCCTGAACCCAGGAGGCGGAGGTTGCGGTGAGGCGAGATCGCGCCATTGCACTCCAGCCTGGGTAACAAGAGCGAAACTCCATCTCAAAACAAACAAACAAAAAAAAGACACAGATGTGTGTGGTTCCTACTTTTATAATCTAACAGTCCAGTGAGGGGCAGGGGCAGTCATATAACAAAAATGACACAATTATTAAATTGTGTTGGTAGAAAGGACTATGAATGGGAAAAGGCATGAATCTGGAAAGCAGAATGGGAGTCCCTGGTCTAATCTTGGAAAATCTCTCAGAGGAGATGACACTGGAGTGAAGACACTGGCCAGTGAAGCCAGCTGGGGATCTTGGAGAGGCAATGACCTTGATGGGGAGAGGAAGCGAGCTCTCTAGCAGAGGAAGCAGCCTGCACAAAGGCTCCCAGAACAGCACGGCAGGCTGCCCTGGGGCAGGAAGGGGCTCTGCGGGTGATCTCAGGTGCGCCCCCAGTTTCCACAAGAATCCCTCCACTTCTGGTTCCCTTACCCTATAATGGACAAAGTCAGAACCTCCACCCACAGGGTGATTTCAGCCGCTCACAGAGGACACTTTTCCCACCTTAAGGCCCCAGACAGAAGTTCAGCTTCCTTGCTGTACCTTTTTTTTTTTTTTTTTTTTTTGAAATGGAGTCTCACTCTGTCACCCAGGCTGGAGTGCAGTGATGTGATCTTGGATCACTGCAACCTCCGCCTCCCCGGTTCAAGCAATTCTCTGCCTCAGCTTCTGGAGTAGCTGGGATTACAGGCACCCGCCACCACGTCCAGATAATTTTTTTGTATTTTTAGTAGAGACGGAGTTTCACTACATTGGCCAGGCTGGTCGTGAACTCCTGACCTCGTGATCCACCCGCCTTGGACTCCCAAAGTGCTGGGATCACAGGTGTGAGCCACTGTGCCCGCCCCACTGGCTGCACTCTTAAGCCAGCAGGTGGAGAGTTCCCTGGTGGGTAGTTCTGCGTGAAGTCAGGAGCTACACACACACACACACACACACACACACACACACACACACACGGAACATGCCTGGGACTGCTGAGCTGCAGCTCCTGTTCATCACTGTAGCTTTTCATTTCCTCTTTCTTTCTGCTGCTTGAAGCTCTCCCTTCTTTTTTCTGAGCTCAGCTACACTTCTCTTACTTGTTATATTTTACCCAGCACTTCTTTGTAATTAAAGAGAAGCAGTGAGAATTAATTTGCAACATCAGCTGGCTTCACTGGGTTGACTTTTTTAAATCCCCCACCCCAAACCAAATCAGGTATCATTGTAATGCACTTCCAGAGTATCTTGTGCCTCCCATCAAAACCTGCACCACACAGGATTGTAAGCTGTGATTTAAGCATCTCCTAACCTCACCCCCGTTTCCCACCCCTCTGAGCTGCAAATTCCACACAGGTATGAACTTTGTGGCTTTTGCTCATCCATATCCCCAGAACCTAACCCAGTGCATGGCACATAATAGGTGCTCAATAAATATTTTTGAATGGATGATGAATGAGTTCTTTGTTAAGCTTCATGCAATTCTGCGAGGTAGACTGCCGCCTTGCTCCCCTTTTGAAGTTGAGAAAACCCAGGCTTGGTGTTTTTGGTAACTCTCTGAAGCTCAAACGTCAAGTTTCAGATCTTAGATTCAAAATCCAGGCTGCTACAACCCAAAAATTACTCTCTTCTCCATCCATCACACTGTCTCTTCAACAGCCCTTAAACTCCAGAAGGGCTAGGTGTGTAGGTGGGTGCAACTGGACAGAAAATAGGACTGCTGCTTTCTGCCCTGAGTCGAGACAGTGTTTGTATGATTGGAAACGAAGGGTGGGAGCCTTGGGGCATGAAAGGGAAATTGGGTTGCTGACAGAATGGGGTGAATACAGACATCCCTGTACAGTGGCAACAGAGAGGACACGCTCTCATCCCAGTAAAGTTTAATCCCTCATAAAAATAGCACCATAGTTAGCAGCATGCCTCCCTCCTGTAATGCAAATAGCAGCAGGATTTTCCAGATGAAAAGCCAGCTTAGACTGGTATACACATGCCCTCAGGGCTGATCCCTGAACACAGAGCTCTGGAGCATGCAAACAGGGCCTCTTAGGGACCAAACTGTCACCAGGAAAATCACAAGAAGAGAGGCCAGCCATTCTCTGTGACTCTCGGTCCAGGAGCTCCAACTTAACTGTGTAAGGCATTCAGGATTCCGAAACCTTGGCAAATTTGAAGTGATGATTATCACCTCATCAACATAACAGTTGAGTGAAGAAAAAAGCAGGGTATAAATTGCATTTCACCATGATTTCCATCTCGGTTAAAAGCAAAATAAAAATAGGTGCAACATAAAAAAGCCCCAGAATTAATGGGAATACGTGAAGAGTTTCAGGAGTGGGACTCGGAGTGGTTTTTTTTCTCTTTCATTTTCTATATTGCCCTAATTTTCATTAATGAAACTGCCTCTCATAAATAAAACAAAATTCCATTTTAAAGGAATATAATGATGTGCAGTACATGCTTGTTATATGGCTAGTTCATTCTATTTTACATAACCCGGGGTAGTGCATATTATTAGCCTCATTTTACAGGCGAAGACATTAGTTTCAAACAGACTGAGTAGCTTGACCAAGCTGTAGCTCCTAAGTACAAAGCCAAGGTTTAAAAATAAATTTTGACCTACTCCAAAGCAGTGCTTTTCAACTTTGCATATTAGAATCATGAGACGCTTTTTAAAATCCCGATGACCAAGCTATGCCCCAGACCAGTTAAATTTGAATCCTTGAGTGTAGGACTCAGGTATCAGTATTTCTTAAATGTTCTCAGCAATTGCAAGGTGTAGCCAAGATTGAGAACTAATGCTCACAAGCCTATGTGCTCAAACACAGCACTATATTGCTTCTCCATATACAGAAATCTATTCTTTGTCATTTGTTGGGAATATAGATAATTATTTTTGAAAACTTTTAATACCATCAGATATTGCCTAAGAACTCTGTCGATTTCAAAGTCTTGTCCACATGCCCAGATCAATTCATGGACAGAGAGTAGCCACCCTACAGAAGAAATGTTCCCCAATCTGAGCAAGAAAAAAAACAATGCTAAGAATAGATTTCTGAAGGCTGAACCCATTCAAAAAGGCTTCCTGAGAAATCTGAAACCTGAACAGACCAATAACAAGTAACAAGTTCAAAGTCATAATAAAAAGTCTCCCACAAAGAAAAGCCTGGTCCAATGGCTTCACTGCTTAATTCTACTAAACATTTAAAGAGCTAACACCAGTCCTGATTCCAAAAACACAAAAAGATGCATCAAAAAAGAAAACTACAGGCGAATATCTCTGATGAATATTGTTGCAAAAATCCTCAACAAACTGCTATCAAACTAAATTAAACAATACCTTAGAAAGACCACGCATCATGACCAAGTGGGATTGATCCCAGGGATACAAGGATGGTTCAACAAACGCAAATCAATCAATGTGATACCTCATATCAACAGAATGAAGGATAAAAACCATATGATCACATCAATTGATGCTGAAAAAGCATTTGATAAAACTCAACATCCCTTTACAATTAAAAACCCTCAAAAAACTGAGTATAGAAGAAATATAGTTCAACATAATAAAAGCCATATATGACATACCCACAGCTAGTAACACACTGAATATGGGAAAACTGAAAGCCTTTCCTATAAGATCTTGAAGAGGACAAACACGCCTACTTTCACCACTATTATTTAACATAGTACTAGAAGTCATAGCTAGAGCAATGAGACAAGGGAAGGATATAAAGAACATTCAAAGTAGAAAGAAAGAAGTCAAATTACCCTTGTTTGCAGAGGATATGATCTTATATTTGGAAGAAAATTCAAGACTCTATAAAAAAAAATATCAGAACTGATAAATTTAGTAACATCTCAGGATACAAAATCAACAAACAAAAATCAGTAGCATTTCTATAGGCCAATAGAGAACAATATAAAAAATAAATTTTAAAAAGTCATCCCATTTACAATAGCCACACATAAAATTAAATATCAGGAACTGACTTAACCAAAGACGTGAAAGATATCTATAATAAAAACCATAAGACACTGATCAAAGAAATTGCAGAGTACACCAAAAAATGAAAACTTATTTTATGTTTTCATTGTTCATGGATTAGGAGAATTAACGTTGTTAACATATCCATTCTACCCAAAGCAATCTACAGATTCAGTGCAATCCCTATCAGAATATCAATGATATTCTTCACACACACACAAAAGTTATTCTAAAATTTATATGGAAACATAAAAGACCCAGAATAGCCAAAGTTAACTCAAGCCAGAAAAAAAAACAAAAAACAAAAAACTGGGGAAACCCCATTATCTGATTTCAGATTTTACTACAGAGCTACAATAACCAAAACAGTATGGCACTGGTATAAAAAGATACATAGACTAATGGAACAGAATAGAGAACTCAAAAACAAATCCATACACCTACAGTGGACTGACTTTTTTTTTTTTTTTTTTTTTTTGAGACGGAGTCTCACCCTTGCCACCCAGGCCAGAGTACATCTCAGCTCACTGTAACCTCTGCCTCCTGGGTTCAAGTGGTTCTCCTGCCTTGGCCTCCTGAGTAGCTGGGAATACAGGCGTGTACCACCATGCCTGGCTAATTTTTTTTATTTTTAGTAGAGACAGAGTTTCATCATGTTGGCCAGGATGGTCTCAATCTCCTGACCTTGTGATCACCCTGTCTTGGCTTCCCAAAGTGCTGGGATTACCGGCGTGAGCCATCACGCCTGGCCACGAACATATTTTTTACAAAGGCGCCAATAATATACACTGGTTAAAAGATAATCCCTTCAATAAATGGTGCTGGGAAACTGGATATCCATATGCAGGGGGTGTGTAGATAGATTTCTATTCTTGCCACACAAAAAAAATCAAGTCAAAATTGATTAAAGATTTAAATCTAAGACCTCAAACTATGAAACTACTACAAGAAAACATTGGGGAAAATCTTCAGGACATCTGGGAAAAAATTTATTTAGCAATACCCCACAAGCACAGGCAACCAAACCAAAAACAGTCAAATGGAACCACATCAAGTCAAAAAGCTTCTACACAGCAAAAGATACAATCAACAAAGTGAGAGACAACACAGAGAATGGGAAAAGATATTTACAAACTACCCGTCTGACAAGGGACTAATAACTAGAATAAATAAGGAGCTCAAACAACTCTATAGAAAAAAAAATCTTGTAATCTGATCCAAAAAAGTGGGCAAAAGATTTAAATAGTCATTTCTCGAAAGAAGACCTGCAAATGGCAGGCAGGCATAGGAAAACGTGCTCAATATCATTGATCATCAGAGAAATGAAAATCAAAATTGCAATGAGATATTATCTTATCACAGTCAAAATGGCTTATATCTACAAGACAGGCCATAACAAATGCTGGTGAGGATGTGGAGAAAAGAGAACCATAGTACACTTTTGGTGGAAATGTAAATTTATACAAGCACAATGGAGAACAGTTTGGAAATCGCTCAAAAAACTAAAAATTGAGCTACCATATGACCCAGCAATCCCACTGCTGGGTATATACCCCAAAGAAAGGAAATCCATATATCAAAGAGATATCTGCACTCCTGTTTGTTGCAGCGTTGCTTCCAATAGCTAAGATTTGGAAGCAACCGAAGGATCTATCAACACATGAATGGGTATAGGAAATGTGGTACAAATACACAATGGATACTATGCAGCCATAAAAAAGAATGAGATTCAGTCATTTGCAACAACATGGATGGAACTGAAGATCATTATGTTAAGTGAAATAAGCCAGGTACAGAAAGACAAACATCACATGTTCTCACTTATTCGTGGGATCTAAAAATTAAAACAATTGAACATGGACATAGAGAGTAGAAGCATAGTTACCAGAGGCTGGAAAGGGTATTGGGGGTCCAGGGGGAAGTGGCGATGGTTAATGGGTACAAAAAGAAATAACTAGAAAGAATGAATAAGACTTACTATTTGATGGCACAGTACGTTGACTATAGTCAATAATAACTTAATTGTACATTACAAAATAACTTAGAGTATAATTGGATTGCTTATAACTCATAGGATAAGTACTTGAGAGGATACATACCCCATTCTCCATGACGTGCTCATTTCACACTGCATGCCTGTATGAAAACATCTCATGTACCCCATAAATACATATATATACCTACTATGTGCCCAAAATAATTAAAAATTTAAAAATTTTAAGAAAATAGAAAGGTTTTCTGGTTGACCAGTTCCTGCAAAGAAAGGAAGGACTTAAGTAAGAAAGACAGTAAGTGACTGCAGAGATGTTTCAATAAGCCAATTCCAGAGTGAATTCAAGTCAACTGCACCCACTGGTGATATGGTACCAGGGTACCAGGCTGCAGGAGAGGATGAGCTGCTTATTTACACAACTCAACAAGAAGGCGCCAAAAAGGAAACTGAGACCCCTGGAGGACCAGAGGAACAGATGTGAGACAGTGAAGAGGTTGAAGCTAATGCATACGTGGACCAAAACAGAGATCACAGCACTAGGTGAGGGAAGAACAAAGACTGAGCTAGCTCACGGTTACGACTCCCAGTATTAAGGACAACCAAAAGTATTTGTAGAGCCCTCCCTATACACAAGTAATTTATATTGTTCCTCTTTCCTTCTTACTGTGGGCAAGATATACCTCCTAGCCCTATTAATCTGAGGTTTGCTCATGTGACTTGCCTTGGCCAGTGGGATAAAAGCAAATGTTGTTGTGAACGAAAGTTTGACATGTGCTTGTTTGCTTGGGTTGCCGCCTTGAGCTTCTTCCTTTTCCTCTATAAAGAATAAGTGTGTTGGTTCCAGGTCTTTGCTATTGCAAACAGTGCCACAATAAACATACGTGTGCATGTGTCTTTATACTAGAAGGATTTATAATCCTTTGGGTAAATACCCAGTAATGGATCGCTGGGTCAAATGGAATTTCTATTTCTAGGTCCTTGAGGAATCGCCACACTGTCTTCCACAATGGTTGAACTAATTTACACTCCCACCAACAGAGTAAAAGTGTTCCTATTTCTCCACATCTTCTCCAGCATCTGTTGTCTCCAGATTTTTTAATGATTGCCATTCTAACTGGCATGAGATGGTATCTCAATGTGGTTTTGATTTCCATTTCTCTAATGACCAGTGATGATGAGCATTTTTTCATATGTTTGTTGGCTGCATAAATGTCTTCTTTCGAAAAGTGTCTGTTAATATCCTTCTCCTACATTTGGGTGGGGTTTTTTTCCCTGTAAATCTGCTGTAGTCCTTTGTAGATTCTGGATATTAGCCCTTTGTCAGATGGGTAGCTTGCAAAAATTTTTTCCCATTCTGTTGGTGGCCGGTTCACTCTAATGATTCTTTTAGTGTGCAGAAGCTCTGGAGTTTAATTAGATCCCATTTGTCTATTTTTGCGTTTGTCGCCATTGCTTTTGGTATTTTAGTCATGAAGTCCTTGCCTATGCCTATGTCCTGAATGGTATTGCCTAGGTTTTCTTCTAGGGTTTTTATGGTGTTAGGTCTTATGTTTAAATCTTTAATCCATCTGGAGTGAATTTTAGTGTAAGATGTCAGGAAGTGGTCCAGTTTCAGCTTTCTGCACATGGCTAGCCAGTTTTACCAACACCATTTATTAAACAGGGAATCCTTCCCCATTGCTTGCTTTTGCCACATGACCATCAATAACATACTGGATAAAGAAAATGTGGCACATATACACCATGGAATACTATGCAGCTATAAAAAGGATGAGTTCATGTCCTTTGTAGGGACATGGATGAATCTGGAAACCATCCTTCTCAGCACACTGACACAAGAACAGAAAACCACACACTGCATGTTCTCATTCATAGGTGGGTGCTGAACACTGAGAACACATGGACACAGAGAGGGAAACATCACACACTGGAAGGGATAGGGGAGGGATAGTGGGGGTGGGGAAGTTGGGGAGGGATAACATTGGGAGAAATGCCTGATGTAGATGACAGGGGTTTGGAAGCAGCAAAGCACCATGGCATGTGTGTACCTATGCAGCAATCCTGCAAGATCTGCACATTTTATACTCTAGAACTTAAAGTATAAAAAAAAGAAAAAAAAAAAAAAGAATAAGTGTGGCCAGCATGGTGGCTCATGCCTGTAATCCCAGCACTCTGGGAGGCCAAGGCAGGAGGATCATGAGGTCAAAAGATCAAGACCATCCTGGCCTACATGTTGAAACCCTGCCTATACTAAAACTACAAAAATCAGCTGGGCACAGTGGCATGCACCTGTAGTCCCAGCTACTTCAGAGGCTGAGACAGAAGAATCACTTGAACCCAGGAGGCAGAGGCTGGAGTAAACCAAGATCACTACTGAAATCCAGACTGGCAACAGAGCAAGACTCTGTCTCAAAAAAAAAAAAAAAAATAGTGTTGGGTAGTTGGGTAGTGGTTGACCCAAGAAGCGTGAGAGATATGTCCTTCACCAATCCACAGGGGAGAAGCAAGGCCAGCATAGGTCAGCCATACTATAGCCAACCTGAGAATACGTGCACAGGAAACAGTTATTGTGGTATGCCACTGAAATTCTGAGGATGTTTGTTACATGGTGTTTTTGCAGTAAGAACTGACGGAGACATGTGATTCTCTCCTTGCATCCACACCACAATCCAGGTAGGTAAGCATTGTCACTGTTTACATTTTATACAGGAGGAAACAGTCTTGGGGAGGTTAAACAACTTGCCCAGGAGTGGTGAGTGGCACAGCTGGGTTTTTAACTCAGATCTTCCTTTAAAGCCCGTGTTTAAAACCACTGTCCTATGCCATCTCCCTGAAACTTTATTATCAAGAGGGTTGAGGACTGCACCAGCAGGGACACTTTTCCAGGGCTTTTATCAGATATGGAGTCATAATGAGAGCAGGTGGAATTTAAGCGCCAGAGAATAGAGGACAAAAAGTGGTCACAGTGACATTGCTCTGAAAACTTCCCTCTCTACCAAATGACACAGGAATATTGGGGTTATGTTTCAAATGGACAAGATTTAAAGGGACTGGCATCTCCAAAGCTCTTAGAAGCCATTTAGTCTTAATGGACGCATAGCACCTCTGGAGAAAATGATGCTATGAGGTCTCAGCAAAAATAAGCATCCTCTAATACAGGGTTTCTCAGCCTTCTCTCTATTGATATTTGGAGTTGAATAATTCTGTGTTTTGTCAGTATGTCCCTGTGCACTATAGGACGTTTAAGAGTATCCCTGGCTGGGCGCGGTGGCTCACTCCTGTAATCCCAGACTTTGGGAGGCCGAGGTGGGTGGACCATGAGGTCAGGAGATGGAGACCATCCTGACCAACATGGTGAAACCCTGTCTCTACTAAAAACACAAAAATTAACTGCGCGTGGCTGTAATGTGCCTGTAATCCCAGCTACTTGGGAGGCTAAGACAGGAGAATTGCTTGAACTCAGGAGGTGGAGGTTGCAGTGAGCCGAGATCGTGCCACTGCACTCCAGCCTGGTGACAGAGCTAGACTCCGTCTCAAAAACAAAGATTATCCCTGACCTCTTCCCATCAGATTCCAGTTGTATCCCCTAGATGTAATAACCAAAAATGTGTCCAGACAATGCCAAGTGTCCCCTTGGGAGGGGGGTGAAAACTGTCCCCAGTTGAGAACTACAGCTTTAATATATAAAGCATATTTTGTAATTAAGAAAACGTCACTTAGAGTATCATGCAATGTCTTGACTCCTAAGCCTGGCTACACATTAGAATGGCTAGAAGGGTTTTGGGAACTGTAAATCCCCAGACCTTGATTGGACTCACTGAATCAGAATCTCTGGAGGAAAGGTCTGGAACCCTGTGTTTTGAATAAGCTTCAAGGTGATTGTCTTTTAGCCAGTCCAGCCTGAGACCAGGGACCATTATTTGCAAGCCACAGCATAGTCATTATAATTATGGTCACTGGAGCCAGACTGGCCCAGGACTCAAGGCCAGCTCAAGTATTTACTAACGTCGTGAAAAAAATGTCATGTTTCCCAGCTGCACGGCACTTCTTCGACAATAGCTTTCCTATGTCAGGGGCACTTCCTGCTGACGAGTCCTGCCTCCCCAAAAGGGCAGCCCCAAAACTTGCTACTCTAATTCTCTGAGAACCATGTGTGCTCATGTGAAATATCAATTCAGAAGCCCAACACATGTAAGGAAGATGACACTGTGCAGTGCCCATGTGTCTGGTGACAATGGAGACAGGTGGCTCTCAGGCATCAGAACTGCGTTTAGAGTCAGTAAAAAAAAAGCTTGGTGCCTATGCCCAGAGGTGGCAAGAGTGGAATCTGCAAAGACCAGCCCTGCAGTGGGGTTTCCAGCAAAGCCAACCTTCAGCCCTTTGGGAGAGTCTGTGCACTCCCTTGCAGCATTGAATAAATTTCTTTCTGTTTAAACTAGCTTGAGTGTGTTCTGTTGCCTGCAACCAAGAAGAGCTGACTTCATCCTTGAGCCTTTTTTCCTCATCTGAAAAATGTGATGCAATATTAGGAATATTATACATAGCTTGGAGAGTGACAATGGACTGCCCAGTTTCAAATTCCGCGTCTGTCATTATACTGTTGCTCAAGGCAAATTACATCAGCTTTCTAAGGTTCAGTTTCCACAAAGTAAAATGAAGATAGCACAAACTTTATTAAGTATCTTGAGGATCAAAATGGAGAGTTGAAATAATGCTTTGCATGTTTCAAGCCCTTGAATATCAGGTATTGTTATTGTTGGAGAAGTATTGAAGGCTTTTTATCACTAAAAGCCTTCACTCCAGGGAATGCAATCTCCTTCATGATTTTTAGAAGTCAAGCCATTCCCTGACCACTATGCTTTTGCCCTTGCAGGTCTCTTGCCTGAAATTTCCTCCTCCCTTTTTACTTCTACCTACCTTATTTTTCAAAACCTAGCTCACCTCTCTCTTTCAAAAAAATTCACGCTACCATCTCCCCTCTGTGAATCTGTGCAGCATCTGGCAATCCCATAGTTCGCCACAGATTAGGACTTAATTATGTTTTGCTACATTTCACCCGTATTTCATCCTGGGTATGTCCTGTCTCCATGGCTAGACTGCAGACTTCTGGAGGGCAGATTCCTTGCTTCTTATCCCTTGGGTACCCACACTGTGCTGGGCACTTAGGAAGAAAGAAAAGAAAAGCGTGTCATATTGAACTGAACCATTGAACGGATACCAAATCAGTATCTCAAGTCACAAGAGCAGGGGCAGGTCAGCAATGAAGCCAGGAGTGGGTCTCCCTGGACCCCTGATTTCTATGCGGCAGAATGACTACTTGGCTATTTGGAAATCTGCACACAGATGACATTCTAGAAAATGACGCTGCCTGCCTTTTCACCACAGAGACCAATTAAGTGCTGTACATTTTAAAAGGCAGACTGAGAAATGCCTGTGAGAACAATTAAGAGTACAAAACACGGTAAATGAAACTGGAAGTTATCAAAAGTAACTGAAGTAAGTTGAGAGAAATGGCAAGTAACCACCACATGGGAGGCTACAGAGCCCAGTGGAACAAAGGCCAATGGTCACCAGCCCCTGTCCCTACCCAGCCTCTCGCCAACGTGCGTGCGGTACAGCTTCTCTAAACAAAAGCGTCCTGAATTGTGAAACAGAGATAATAATAGTACTTGCCTCACAAGGTAGTTGTTAAGATTGAATGTATTCATACATGTAAAGTAATTAAAACCGTGCCTAGCACTTAACTGCTGAATGACTGTTGGTTGCTATGATAATGATTAGTAATAGACTATTATGTATGCTCCAAAATAGCGGAGACCTTTGTTGCCTTGTTTTCTCAGCACCCGACATCTCCAGCACACAGGAGGAACTCAATCAATGCTTGCTGAATGACTGCATAAAATGGCAAGCTTAGCTGGTGACAAATTATGATTCGGATCAGCTTGCAGACCCACTACACAAGTGCCCTAGGCTGTTCTTTCCTTCCCATGGGCAGAGGCTCAGGAGCGCTTTTATAAGCTTCTTTCGCTCCTCCGCCAGCCCCTCCCAGCTCATCCGCTCCATCTCTCCTGGACAAGGGACCATCCTCCATGTCAGATCTAGTTCCAGCATCTTGTCCGGCTCCCTTTGAACTTGATGCTTTGAACCATTCCTACAATGCCTGCTTCTACCTTCTGAGACTGAATTGTTCTTTCTTTCTTTGGCATTTGATAGCTTCTGGTCAGCCCACCCTACTGACTGAGCCTGCCTAGAACCCCACACCCCAATCCTGACACTCCCCAGTCTCCCATGCTCTGGGGTTCAAACACCTCCACATCCCAAGCCCTCCCAGGCTCCACACCGGGACTCTGGAATTTTACAAACATGGGTTTAAATCCAGATATTCAGGGTATTTACTTAATCTCTCTGACCTCAGTTTTTTCACCTGAAAAGTGGGAAAATAATACCCACTCATTGGCATAAAAATTAAATGTCTATAACATGCCTCCCACAGAGTCTGCCATAAAAGAGGATGATCCAATGCTAATTCCTTCTCTGATTCCTACTTCTACAATATGGTGAACTCTCTAGAGCCCCATAAAAACACGGGATGAGCCATTTGGCCAGCAAGGGCCTGGTGATGGAAACTGTGAGCATCCAGTCTATTTCTCCAGGAGGGAGCAGAACTTTGTAATAAAACTGAATTGTGGTGGAAAGCAAGGAAAAGCTGCTTGCTGCAGCCTTAACGGGCAAGATAAAGGGCACCTCTTTGGAGGCCAGGGGACAGGTTTATTAATAGGATTAAAGCCAGCGGAAGCTGCTGGAGAGTCAGTGTGGCTTATCAGTGTGAAATAGTGTGTACTCGCAGATAAGATCACCCACAGAGCAGCCAAGAGGCCACTTCAGAAATTTAAAAAAAAAAAAAAATGCAATGAGATCCTGGGGTAGGATAGAAAAACTAGTGGTCCTCAAGTTCTGGACCATAATCTTTTGTAAGGATGGTTAGATCAGAATCATCAGCCATGGGTGAGAGATTGGGGGTTAAAATAGAGAATCTGGATCCCATCCCTAGAGTTTCTAGTCCCATAAGTCTAAGATCGTACCTGGGAATCCAGTAGCAATTTTTTTTTTTTTTATGACAATGTCTCGCTCTGTCACCAGGCTGTAGTATAGTACAATGGCACAATCGTATCTCACTGCAGCCTTGACCTCCTAGGCTCAGACAATCCTCCAGCTTTAGCTCCCCCCACCCCCACAAATAGCTGGGACTGCAGGCACACCACCACACCTGGCTAATTTTTTAAAAGTAGAGATAGGGTCTTGCTATGTGGTTCGGGCTGATCTCAAACCCTTGGGCTCAAGCAATCCTCTCACCTTGGCCTCCCAAAATGCTGGGATCACTGACATAAACCACCATATCCCACCCATTCACTTTTTTTTTTTAATCTTAGATGATGTTGCTGAAGAAGCAGCCACGTTTTAGACTGTTTGAAGATTGTTTTTTAATCAGTCTCATAGCAATCCAGATACCTGGATGCATACATTCATTTGTTTAACAAGTATCTGTTATGTATTTATGACATTTTTGGTGAGCAAGAAATAAGAAGGAAAGATGGTCGTGTTCCTCATCAAGCTTCCAGTTGGCTACTGGAGAGATCAAGGAGTGCAGCAAGCCATCATTTCATTCATTCAAAAATTAAGTGCCTCCTATATGCCAGGCTCTGTGCTATGGAAGTGGGATTTTGATTATGTCTTAAAAAATGGGACGCAACCGCCAGGTGCAGTGGCTCACGCCTATAATCCCAGCACTTTCGGAGGCCGAGGCAGGTGGATCACAAGGTCAGATGTTTGAGACCAGCCTGGCCAATATGGTGAAACCCTGTCTCTACTAAAAATACAAAAAAATTAGCTGGGCATGGTGGTGCATGCCTGTAATCCCAGCTACTCAGGAGGCTGGGGCAGGAGAATTGCTTGAACCCGGCAGGTGGTGTTTGTAGTGAACCAAGATGGTGCCACTGCACCCCAGCCTGGGCAACAGAGCGAGACTCTGTCTCACACACACACACACAAAAAAAAGGCAGGGGGGAGGGGGCGGTGGGAAGCAACAAGAAACGGGAGAACGTCTTATCTTAGATTTCAGCCTAACCAAGGGAGGGATCACTGTTTCCTTCTTCTTTTTTCTTTTTCAGGATTATGTCCTATATTACTCTCTGACAGGCAAGAGGAATGTTTCCTAAAGTTCACAGAACAGGTTATGCATTGAAACCCCGTCTCTACTAAAAATACAAAAAATCAGCTGGGCATGGTGGTGCATGCCTGTAATCCCAGCTACTCAGGAGGCTGAGGCAGGAGAATTGCCTGAACCCAGGAGGCAGAGGTTGCGGTGAGCCGAGATCGCATCATTGCACTCCAGCCTGGGCAACAAGAGCGAAACTCCGTCTCAAAAAAAAAAAAAAAAAAAAGAAAGAAAAGGTTATGCATTCGCGATCCCAGTTCCCTAGGGTTGGAAGAGAGGTCTGCACAACTGATACACAACTTGGTATGCTCTCCAATGATGCTGAGATAGAAAAGAGTGAGGAGAGTCGAAAGGAAAAAATAATAAAAGCGGCAGTTGTGAAACCTAACACATGAAACACTTACTATGTGCTGAGCAGGGATCTCAGTCTCAATGACTATAAACAAACACACAGAGCCCTTTCATCTTCTCCTGGAGGGAGCAGCAAACACAGCTGCTCTATAGAGAGACCATTTCAGAACAGTATCAATGGCCTGCAAAAGCAGCCCTGCCATTTGACTATGTTCTTTGCTTTCAGAGAGTCTATCCTTTGGAACTGCCACCAAGGCTTCATGCAAAAAAGATGTGCAGCACTGCTTATAATGACATAAAACCTGGAGGCAAACTATGTTTCCAACAGTAGGGGTTGGCTTAAATTATCTCTGGTCCACACATATGAAAGAAGAATGAGGAGACTCTCTACTGACATAGAACCATTTCCAAGATTAGCCATTAAGTGAATAATGCAAGGTACAATTTTGAAATATACATTACTATTATCTGTAGTCTCCATGGTATACAATAGATCACTAGAACTTATTCCTTCTGTACCCTTTGAGTAACGTCTCCCTTTCTCCATCTACTACATCCTTACTCTCTGATAACCACCATTGCTGAAAGAACAGATTTTAAACGTTCTCACTACAAAGAAATGTTAAGTATGTGAGGGGATGAGTGTGTTAATTGACCTGATTTAATCATTCCACAATGTATGCACATATCATAACATCCCATTGTATCCCGTAAATATATGTACTTATTATTTGTCAATTAAAAATAAGTTTTTAAATGTAAGACGCAGAAGAATGTGTGCTAGCTGTTAAATTTTATGGCATATGCATGTATTAACTTTTCAAAAATGTAAAAGCAATATGTCAAACTCTTTATAGAGTAAAACCCAATGAGCTATGTGGGAACAAGAAAGTTTGGGAAAGAATTTTTGGGAAATGTTCACTAGTTTTGTTGGGATAGAAGATCACTGGGTAATTCTTTTTTCGCATTTTGCTTTATTTCTAAATTTAGCTGTGTAATAGAATCAAATACTTTTATCATGAAAAAAAGATATTTTTAAATGAAAGAAATCCTGGATTCAGGCTAGGGGTTTGCTTAGAACACATATAAGAAGGGACTCCTGATAACAATAGTATATCAAAGAATGACCAAAAAATGTCAAAGATCTGGTCAGGAAGGCATAAACCCTAGAATAATTTGCCAAAAAACAAAACACCAGTGGGCTCTCAAAATCGAGCCTTAAAGCATCATTGAGAGGTTTGCTGCTTTAAGTATATTGGTTAGGACTTTGCTGCACGTAACAAGAACTCCAAATCAAACTGGATTAAGCAAAAGAAGGAATTTATTGGCTTAAATAATTGAAGAGTTCAGGGGAAAGAAAAGAGTGACTTTAGAATAGCTTGGTCCTGTTCACTCACATTTTTTTCTTTTCTTTTTAGAGATGGGATCTTGCTCTGTCACCCAGGCTGGAGTGCAGAGGCACGATCAGAGCTTACTGCAGCCTTGAACCCCCGGGCTGAAGCAATCTTTTTACCTCAGTCTTCCAAGCAGCTGGGACTACAGGCACGTCCCATCACACTTTTTTTTTTTTTTTTTTTTTTTTTTTTTTTTTGTCTACAGGCAGGGTCTCATCATGTTGCCCAGACTGGTCTCACACTCCTAGCCCCAAGCAATCCTCCCATGTCAGCTTCCCAAAGTGCTATGATTACAGGCATGAGCCAATGGGCCTAGCCTCACTGATATCTTGACTTTTTCCCTGTTGATTCAGCCCTCCACCTGACGCACCATACTGGGACTTTCTCAATTATCAGGCCCTAGGTATAGCTCCTAGAAGGCCATGTTCACTGTAGTATTTTTTTTTTCAAGCAGTTC